CCCTAGCGCGGGTAGCGTTGGCGTCGCCACCGCCGGAGCTCCGCCGAGCGACGGCCTCGCGCGCAGCCTCTTCTTGCCACCGCGGATGACCACGGCGACGGGTGGCGTCGCGCCGGCGCCGTCCCGTGCCGCCGCCGCACCGTTGAAGCTCCCCAATGCGGCGCGGCCGAAGAAGGGCAAAACTTCGGCGAAGAAAAACAAGGCGGCGGACGGCTCCGGCGGCACGAAGGCGAGGGGAAAGAAGCTTGCAGGGCGTTCGACGGCCGCGGCGGCTACCGAAGTGCCGGCGAGCTCACTCGTTGAGCCGTCCGCCGACGCGCACCATGTGTTCGACGAAATGCCCCCAAGGTGAAAAATATTCTAACTTTTATTTTCTTTTTGTTTTTCAATGCATCATCACATATAGATATCTTATTTGCATTGTTTAAAAAATTTTGTAGTCTCAATGATGATGCATACATGTCAACTATGGGTGTTGGGTCCAACAATTCGCATTGGTCTCAAACCAATGACATCCATTTGGAAGACCATGAATTTGAGGTGGACGAGGAGGGTGAGGGCATTGTCGACGCGCCGAAAGGAAGAGCGGGCAATTACAGCACCAACGATGACAAGTTACTATGCAATACTTATTTGCAAGTGTCAAGGGATCCATCCATTGGAGGTGATCAAAGTAGAGATGCGTATTGGGGGCGAATGAAAGAATACTTTGATGCTCACAACATGAGTGGAATTGACCGCTTGGAGAGATCACTTTGGTCCCGATGGTCCACAATCAACTCGGATTGTCAAAAGTGGGTGGCCGCACAAAAGTCAGTTGACAAGATTAACCCAAGTGGCACAAATGAGGATGATAGAGTAAGTGGCATCTCATATATGTTCATCTCATACTTGTTTTTGGTGTCCGAAGTGCTAACTTGTTTTGTTTTTCTTGTAGTACAACATTGCACAAAACTTGTTCAAAGAAGAGACGAGGAAAACCAAGAAGTGGAAGATCAAGAAAGGAAGGTTCTTTACCTTGTCTCATTGCTATGAAGTGTATTTAAAGAATGATGAGAAATGGAAGAATCGTGATGGTTTGGATGATTTGCATTTGAGCAACAAACGCAAGGTGGATGATGATGATGAGGAGGATGATGCATCAAGTGATGACGACAAGAGAAGCCCCACACCCAACTCGGTTTCATACTCGAAGCCAAAACGACCGGATGGGTGCAAGAAAGACAAAACCGAAAAGAAGAAGAGGAAAGGAGATGATGAGCTCAAAAATGCTATGGAAGCTATTGTGAAGGCAAGAAAATAAGCCAACGAGGTGAGGAAAATGGCAAGGAACCAAGATGCCGCGGCCGAGGAGAGGAGGTTGGCGGCCGAGGAGAGGAGGGTGGCCGCCGAGGAGAGGAAAGTGGCATTGGAGGAGAGGAAGGTGGGCATGGAGGAGCGATCTAGGTTGTTGGAATGGGAGAAGCATTTGTTCTTCTTGGACACATCTTCGTTCAATGGTGCGCAAAAGGAATATGTCAACCTTGCTCGTGAAGAAGTCTTGATCCAAAAAAGAGCCATGATCCGCACAATGGGTGGCGGTGGCCTTGGCGGCGCCATGGGAGCCATGGGTGCACCTCCGGCCGCCATGGGAGGCATGGGTGGCTTCGGCGCCATGGGAGGCATGGGTGGCTTGGGCGCCATGGGAGGCATGGGCGCACCTCCGGCCGCCATGGGAGGCATGGGTGGCTTCGGAGCACCCTCTGACACTATGGCCGCCATGGGAGGCATGAATTTCGCTACTCTTATGGGAGGCATGGGTGCACCTCCGGCCATGGGTGGAATGTCTTGAACTTTTACTTTGCATTTTGAACTTGGTTGGACGAACTTGTGGGCATGACTTGGTTGGAAGATGTTTGTGGACAAATTACACATGTTCATTGCATTTTGATAATTGTTTCGAAACCCAAGTCACGCGCGCCGGGCGAGTCGCGCGCGCTGTATTTCTGCGCGCTGCTGGAGCGGCGTGCGCGCGCTGCATTATAGCGCGGTTGCTGGATCCAGCGCTTGCGGCCGCGCTAAACCAGTCGAAGGACGCGCGGCAAACAGGTTTTTTGCGCGCGGCGCATAGCGCGGCTATTGGAGATGCTCTTAATTTTTGGAACGGGCCTAGAACACGAGGGGACAAAAAAACACCCTTCAACAACAGCCAAACCGTAAAATAAAGCTCTAAGTGCTGCAAATATACGGCACTTTGGCAGCTGCATCAAAATCTCGCGGCTCTAACCGGACATGCACCTCCGACGCCTTCCATGCATTTTCAGTTCAGTACGTAGATGGCCTCCGGTTCCCTTCTGGACATGCACCTTCGCTGCCTTCTATGCATTTTCAGTTCAGTACTAAACGTATGCACCTTCAGAGTTTAGGCTAGCTAGTGTACAGGGTTTTGGCACATTCAGGCTAGCGAATGTACAAAGTAGTAATTTTAAAGTTGATCAAGTTGCACTTTTTTTTAGAAAAGAAGGATGTACCTCCGGCCTCTGCATCTAGGATGATGCATGCAGCTATATTATTAATTATTCACAAAGACCATATACAAGGTGATACATCAATAAGTCTGAAGTCATCATCTGTTGCACATAATTTTCAATATCCAATTTCATCATCTGTTGGATAAGAATTTCCTTCTTGTTGTTTGATTTAGTTACTTAATGTAATTTGGTTCTATTTTGTCGAATATAGCCCATTGGGCCAGGGTGGGCCAGCAGTGTACTGTACATATACACTTATTTTTTTCTTTTATTTTTTTAGCTTTTCTCCTATGGTATAAATGCTGTTTTCAGATCTCAGGGTGGGCCATGGCCCACCCTGGCCACCCCCTACCTCCGCCACTTGCATGTCACAAATACCTTGTTTCAACCTAATTATGAATGGCATGTTTTATTTAGATGTGTATTAAAAGAGAAGAAGGGCAAAAAAAATTGATGGACGGATTTGTAGTTCAATTCAATATGTTTTTGATTATGTGTGCGGTGATCTTGCAAAGATAAATTCTCTTTGAAGTTCATATTTTGTTTAATACATATGCAATTGTGGAGAACAAATTTGTGGTGTGGTGCCCTATCTTAGGGCAGCAATTGGAGCAGTTATGCCCTATTTGGTGCCCTATTTTAGGGCAGCTGTTGGAAACGGCGCCTTGTTGTGCCAAAAAATTAATATTTTCGTGCTTTCCTGTTTTCCCAAAACTAAGGCTGCTATTGGAGATTCTCGGGCATGACCTGTGGAGGCAGCACCTTGCCCCGTGCATTCCATAGAGACATTTGTTTTGAAGCTGCTATCAAGACAAACCATTGCTCAATAGTAGAAGTGGCCCTTTCTTAGTCTCTCGTCACTAGTTCTTTCCTTTTTCTTCATGATCTCTCCCAAGCAAAAAAATAAAATAAACATACTAGCATGCAGTGCCTCAGCCACTACCATTTAAACACTTTTGTCAGTGAGGAACTGAGCTCCTCCACAAGATCCTCTTAGCCTATGTAGACAACATCTTTTATTTTAGATGTACTGATTGAGCCGATGTGATAGCTGAGACGGAGGTCCAAACATGTAGCATTGGCCATGCCCTAAAAAGCTAGTGTAGCAGACTATGCCCCCATCTAACGCTAAATCATGAAAAATAATAATGATACAGTCAGATATCATATATGATTGTCACATGTATATGTCATAGATAAATATTTCAATCACATATAGCTACTAGCAACTAGCACAACAACCACATGTTATTTTATATCACTTGCACGGAACATAGTTTTTGATGCATCTATGTCAACCAATAAGCACCCAACCAAAGCAACAGTTAGTGCATAACTTTCACATAACTATAGGATGCCCTAGCACATAACATCCAGCTAACATAACACCCAGCCATAGCAAATTAAGTGCAAACTTGCACCCAACAAGACGCAAACTTGGAAAGTACATAATTGGAGATTGTCCAGTCTAGTAAATGACTTAGATAACAAAAGGTACATAACTTCGACAGTCTAGCAACTGGTGGGACTAAAGGCACACCTGCACACTAAAACAATAGGATGACAAACTACAAACAAATAGCCTTATAGTTGCACAGTGCAATGCAAACATTGAATCAGTCTAAATCGGCAGAGGCCAAGTGGGACTCATCTTGGAATAGCTTGATTATCTTCTGATTCCGAATACAAAGAATTGGAAGAAGTAGAAAGCATGGGGTCTTCTTCGATGCTATTAAGAATAGAGTGCATGCTCTTTTCCTCTTATTCCTAGATGGTGCAAACATCTTCCTTCTTCTTGTGTGCAC